AACTATACTCTACTTAACAATAAATGCAGATAATCCATAACTTCTTTATCAATTCATTCCAAAACCAAACTTCAATGAGGTGAAATACTAAATAACAGATAATATTATCTGCATAGATAACCTTAGTGTACTTGGTACAAATGAAGAAAGGCTAAAACTACTTTATTAAATGAGGCCATAACCCACCTTCAGGGCTTTTCAAGATTGCAGGGATTATTTCTGGTCTGATATATCATCTCTTCATACAAACTTCATCAGCTCCAGATTAAAGTTCATTATAAATATGTTGATAGTACTAATTTTATTAAATTTTTTTTAGAAGCAAATAAAACCAATGGGAAAGTCATCAGAAATGAGATTTTTACCTTGTCTGGAAGACTACTACTTCCAAAGAGTCATGAATAGCAAAACTATGGAATTTTATCTTTAGATTTCTAAAACATTCTCAACAAGGCATACTACAAATAAACTGCCAATGATTATGATGTAGTTCACACTTTAGGAGACTTCCTGGTAGGTACAAAAATATGCAGAGGACTAGTTTCTACCTATAAAATGGAAATGTCTTCTGGCAAGGCTAAAAGTGAATCTTTGATCCTACAAGTGTAAGGGAACCGAACTGCTCACTATTAGAGCCACTCATTCAGGGAAGAGGATTCCACAGTTGATCTTCCACAAGAGAAGCATCATGAAACAGGTATTAAACAGGACCTCGTGCCACTGCTGCATCCTTCTTCACAGGGTGAGGCCAACGATGGCAAAAGCTTTGGAGAGGTGAAAAGGTAAATAAAAACAAATGCTTTCCATTTTCCTTTGAGTCATTAGTGTCATCTTTGGATGAGGAAAAGAAAGAAAATCTTAGAGATCACCTTACCAACTCTGCCATAGGAGCCAAATCCAACACTGTGAAAGGTAACTAGTGATCAAATCCCCCATTTTGCTGATTAAACTCATTTCATGCAAGAACAAACTGAATCAAACAGCAGCTTAATGGCCAAAAGAAGCAATTCCACTTTTAATTGGTATTTTTTAGCAAATTGGAAATGGAAGACAGGAAAGGGGGCATGGGTCTGAGAGCTAATTTCTGTTCTTCTGTATCCCTTAGATTCTGGTTCTGAGACTGACAATTGGCAGGCACTGGAGATGGGGATCTCTCAAGTGACACAATAAAAAACCTTAGCTCCCCTTTCTAACAGGCCCCTTTCTAACAGAGCTCCTTGCTCTGGTGGTCACAGAGCAGAGAAACTGCACCAATAGTCTTGTTAAGGTCTTTTGAAAAGTACGCCGAAAGTGTGAAGAGGGCAGATATGAGATGGGGAGATAGAAACCCAACAATACCAAGTGGATAACCTAATGGCAAAGCACCTTTACTTGATGTGCCTAAAGCATCCTGGACTTAAGGTTCATTATCCATTCAATGATCATCTGGCTGGGTGCCCACTTGCTGAGTGCCAGGCACTGTGCCAGGGCTTTGGGGATGGAATGGGCCTTACTACCTGTTCAGCAGCTAACACACGCACAGGGAAACAGTGATGGGAATTCAGATGAAGGAGGTGACTTTTCCTGAGAAACTTGAGAAAGGCTGTAAAGAAGGGTAAGCATTTAGGTGGGACATGAAGAATACATGGGAATTCAACATGAGAAGAAAGTAGGGCAAGCCAAGTGGATCAATTACCATCCCAACCGCAGCTTAGAGATCACTGAATGAAGAAATCCACCTTACTGATAACCCGTAAAATTTCATAATATATTCCTACCTGGCTGTCTGGCCTCTTTATTCTGTTTCACACACGGTACTCTCAAGAAAGAAAAACTGCTTCCAATAACCACCACCACCAATAATAACAACTTTCAGTAGGTCTCCTTGAAAGATCTAATAAAGTTCTTCACAATTAAATGTCAGCTTCACCTTTCAAATTTCACAAGCCAGTAAGTTCTTTTAGGATACCTCCTAGACACTGAGCCCCTTGGTGGTCCAGGGCAGCTATAATGTGGGATCATGTATGCCTTTGTGCACATTCTCCTCCTTTCCCTGGTCAACCCCACTCCCATTTCTGCATGACCCATTCGTTCACCCAACAATCACTGTTGGAGCCACAGTCACATGCCAGGCACAGTGACAGGCACTGAGAACCAGACAGGAACCACAAAAGAAATCACTGACAGAAACTACTGCTCACAGTATATATTTTACTTACAGATTTTTAACAAACTCATGGAATTAGCCAGCTGAATGATATAGCCTTAACATTATTTAACATTTAAAAATTTTTAAGTCCAGAACATAATCTAATAGCTATGCATAGACCAACCACTCCCTCACTGAACAGTTGTTAACATTTTGTTATATTTGCTCCAGACGGCTCTCGAAAAAAATGCTACACATTTGGGGAAAGCCTAATTCCTTGTATTGTCCTCCTTGTTTCCTTTCTAGTGGTTCCACTATCTTAAATTGGTGTCATTCAAAAATATTTCATACTTTTACTTCACATGCATACACTGGCAAACAATACCAAATATTGTTTAATTATTATACAGTATTGCTATATATATTTTTAAAACTGCTAATACATTATATCCTCCTATAGCTTTTCTTCTGCAACTTATAGCTTTCCAAGTCTGTTTTGCAAACATGTCCTTGTTTATACATGTAGATCTTTTTATTTCATTTTAACTGCTTTAGAGTGTACCTTTTAACAGTTTATTTTCCATTTGCATCCTGATGAGTGTATATTCTTTGCAATTTTTTACTTTTGCTAATGAGCATCCTTTGTATCTATTTTACTGTGCATACCTGTCAGACTTCCTCCAATGGTATCCCAGTTCTTGGAGTGTGAAATCTTACTCTTTTGCCCACTGATTCTCTCACTCATGGTCAAATTTTATTTTATGACATGTATTTTAAGACAATTTTTTAGTTTTACAAAATCAGAACTCATTCAAAAATACATGATGAACAAAGCACACCATGAAACTGTCCTTCCTATCCTCTTCAATACATCTCTTCTTATTTCTGTGCTACACTCAGGTGCTATAATCTCACACCTGGATTCCTTAGCTCTAGAGAAGGTATTTGTGTGTGTGGATGGTTGCTTAAATTGATGTTTCTGTGAGAGGATGGGCACTGATAAGTCCTATTCCGTCATCTTACTGACATCACTCATAAATCTGTGTTTTACAGCATCTCACTGTGAGCTCATCTTTAGCGGTGCCATTTTCTCAGCTGGGGACTCCTGAGCACTGTGGATAGTTACATTTGGGCTAAAAACCCACATATGGTAGAAGCCTGGCATTTGCTAATGGCAGACTCCTTCAAGGACATGGCTTAGTGTAGTGATCTTAAGTTCAAACATACCATCTTGAGCACACACAAGGTTTCATTCTTTGGCTCCTATATGGGTATTAAACCCACCTCTGGTATTTACTTTGAGGTTTGACAACTGTTCTCACATCTCCTACAGAGGTAGCTCAAGCTTCTGGCTCTGGTTTTCAGTGCTCTTTCTAGTTTCAATATCTGGAGATTTTCCCTCCTGTTGTGCCATTTCCTCTAGGTATTGGTCTTTATTATAGATATACCAAGTATATCTAGAAGTTTATCAAGAGAATTTCTATTTTAATTTAGTTAGTTATATTGCCAGAATAAGAAGTCCTAGCTAAATTATTTAAAATGTTGATTTATCTTTCTATTATAATATAATTCTCTTCAGAAAAACAAAACAAGTTGGTTCATACCTTTTAGAAATATATAATACCATACTATTGAGTTTGTGAATTGCTATTTTTGGTGCTAAAAATATGGATAATTTCTAAAAAAAAATTATAGAGAACTAAAGCTAATTTTTGTTTTCAGTTTTAACTTCATTAATAAGTTATTTCATTGGGTACTGCAAAGTCTGAGTTAGAAATTTCTAATTTATAATTTTACACCATACTTATAATTCTCTTCTTATTAAAAACCTTCCTGGATATTTATAAAATAATTACATAATTTTATTTTTGTTTTGTAAAGGTTTTGTTGACCTTTATTTATATGCTTTATACATTACTAAACCTATCAATATACACAACTGTTAAGAGTAAGAGATGAAAAATTCATATGACTACAACTTACCAGCCCAATAGTTTAAAGTTCATACCATCAATCAGCTAGAAACAACAGACAGCATTCTATTCACTAAGAATTTTTTTTGCCCATGAATAATACAAGATACTGAAAAGTAGAACAATTATGAGGTTAGAAATAACTGAAAGAAAAGTTATTGCAGGCATGTCTACCTAAGTGTAAGCAGATCAAACTTAAAACTTCAAGCAATGAAAGCATTTTATAGTAGGTTTTATAGAAATAAGTTAATTATTAAGAAAATCTACAGGTAGTATGAGTAGTGATTTAACTATGTGGAACATGTAATTTTTACAGGAATGATGCTTTTAAATACCATGAGGTATTTAAACAAAAAATAACAATCATGATTATGTTTTTATACTAATGTACTCTTTTTGTATTTACTAAATGTGAGTATAGTAAATTATTCCATATAGTAATTAGTTCATGTGAATTCACAGAGTTCTAGAAAACCCAAAGTAAACTGAAGGCATTTTTAAAAGTTAATGCAATCTTATCATTTAGAAATATTTCTTAGTTAAAAAAAAATCAATACCAGGTGTTCAAAGCACCAGCCAATTAGCTTTACCAAATGATTAGCAATTAATCATAACAACATCCATTAACTGGGTGCACATATGAGGAATCTGAAGACAGCACAATAGCTTTTGCTACAAAAGCTTGCCAATGTTACAGAAAACATTTCAAACACAGGACTGAGGGATAGTCAACACTGAAAGAGGCTTCTCAAAATTAGAATACACGGACATTTTTGGTGTCAAATTCTGGAAGGCAAGTTAACAATAACAATACTAACAGAATTGTCTGCTGCATACAGAACAACCTAATAAGGCATGTAACTTGAGTGGGCATAAAGATGGAGCCATTGGCCCTGTACCTGGTGCTGGCGATGCTTGGTGAATCTGCTCCAAGCCTACATCTTTCTAGCTGACTGGCAACAATCTGCCTTTCCACTTCCAGTTCTCGGGTGAGTCGTTGAAACTGAAGCTCCTGTGATTCAAGGAAATAAAAGGCATATAAGGCGCTGAGGTTTGCTGCTCAGGCAGATATATAAATTAATGTACATCACAGGAAACACAGGAACGTACCCATAACATAAAGCTATGGTGTGGCTTTGTGAAAGGCAATTTTTGTATGAAATAAATGACCTATTGATTCCTAGCTTTTTCAAATCTAAAGGCAATAGAATATCAGCCTTTGTTTGGAATAGAAAACATATAGATCTTTATTTGCCTTTTCTCATTTTGGTTCTAACTGAGGTCTTGAAATAGTACTTCTATTATAGTGCCTTATTAAAGTTAAGACTTCTGGAGACCTTACTTTATGTATCTCTATCAGAGGCACAGCAAATTATTTATTTATTCCCAATGGCTAGTTTTTATATTTCTCATACTACATGTCAGCATAGTTAAAAAATATATAAATCCCCATGATCAGAATCACTTTACCATGTTTGACATACAGTCTTTTAAGAAACAAAGATTCCAATGCTACAGAAAGTCTTGCCATATTGATCTATGATATAACCAACAAAAATGTGCTGTGTCCAAAACCAATCCTGTGCCACCGTGCAAAGGGAAAGAAGGAACACAAGAAAGGAAAAAGACTAAGCCATAACATGGAATTTAAAATATATTTAAAAGCTGGAAGATTGTCTACGGAAATTATATTCTTCAATCTATGTTGCAAAATGAAGGCAAACAAGTTCTATGAAAGGAGAAGGTGCTTCAACTTTATTTGTATTTCTCTCATTGTTAGCTTGATGGGATCTTAATACATAGAAAACATGTCATGTTATAAAATATCTAAAGATCAAATATATTCCAAAGGTTTTAAGCCACAAATAGCATCTCAAGCTCCCCTGTGCCATATTATCTCCTTACAAGTCCACTCAAAGCAAACGCTGAACTGTAAGTAGTTTAATGTGATGCCTGCTAGCTCAAAATACCAGACATACGAGTAATAAATGTAGAAACTAACAAGAAATAAAATGACCTAAAATATTATTTATGACTGTATGTATATATCTGTTTGCCATCAAAAATTTTTAAAGCATATAACTCCTTGTGAAATCAGGCAAACGTGCAATTGCTTGGCAACACTGGCTCTGCAAATTGCACAAGATATTCTTAGAATAATTTTAAAGAAACAGTCCCTAAACTCCTTACCACTTTCTGATATTGAGAATCCTTTTCTAATGATCCCAACTGGTGTGAGGGTATTAGACAGGGCCTAGATGAATAATAGCGGGCTCAATAATGCTGTACAGTATGATCATAATAGGTAAGTGGGACAATGCCTGCCTCTGCCTAACAATTCTTAGGCTCTTAATAAATGTTGAGTAACAAAAGACCAGATAGACATAAATTGTTCAGCAGTCAGTACCAGGCTAAGATAACCAATTTGAAAATACTATTTTGCTTATCTCACACTTACTCTTTCTTTGCTCTTAAACAGCAAAATTTTTTGTGTGATAGACTTTCATTCATTCCCTTCTTTTACTCACGTGTTATTACATGCATCTTTTCCCATAACACTGGCTGCTAGTATCAAGCTGGGCCAGGAAAGGACTATTCAGGAATCCCCAAGTATTCCCCAAGCCATCATATTACCTTTGTCCTCTGAGTTCAGTGGCTACTAGGGATTGAGGGCTAGAGTACTATCCTCATTCTAGGATGGCCAAAAGTTACCACATCAGGTCTAGCATGGTATGAATATATATTTAAAAATAAGAACATAGAAAAAAAATTCCATTCATAGAAAAAAATTCCACTGTACAGGAAATTTTTACCATGTTTGTGGCTGCCTATGACCTTTTAAACAACCTTTCAAGGAAATGGTTGGGAAAGTTACTGCTTGAAGGCAGAAGTTGGAATTTCCCATAATTCCTTCCCTCAAAAGCAGAGACAGGTAACTTTGGCTCTGCCAAGAAGGTGCACTCATGCCAGCCTGTGATGCAGATGCTGACACTGAGACTCTGACTCTAGCAAACAGGACACTAATTTTCCCTCTCTATTGCTTTCTTGCTGAACTTCCTGCATTAGGTCTCAAGGTCAAGTTTCTGACATGGAAACAACCTCCTGTGTTTGATGGCTGTAACAAGTTTCTTTATCTGATCAACTTTGTGGCACAAATTTGGATACCATTCCTGGGATGTAGTCTCAAGTCTTGTTCTCCAGTACTTGTACCAAATGTGGGAATTCACTAATAATCCCTTAATGAATTTCCTTTTCTGCTTAATTAGCCATGTCAGTTTCTGTATCTTACAACTAGAAACTTTGATTGACATACCCATAGAAACAGTTTACAGTTTTTGAGTTGCTAGGAAAGCCTATGTAGCATGATGTAGCTACACTTTTTATTTAAAAGTAGGGCCATTTCTTTAATATTCTTATGGACTGAGTTAAGTCCATATGAGATCCCAACTGGATGCAGAACCCATACTATTGAACATCACTGACTACTGTTATCAAAACTGTTCTACCTATTATGTGTCCACAACTTCTCACAAGTAGGACTTCATTAAAGTGCCAAAAACAGAATGTCGAGAAGCTATAAAGCACAGAATTTGTAAATGTTACTTAACACCTGTTTACAAACAAAAAATATGCTTTCGTGCAAAATTATTACTATTACCCCTACCGAATGTAAGCTGAACACACACATGTGATTGGCACCAAGATGTATGAGCGGGTATCAAATTTCACAACTCAGTCTCTACTGGCTTCTTTGACTGACTGATGAGGAAGAGAGTATTATGCAGTCATATAAAAACACATCTAATAATTTCCAAAATGACACTCATTAAGATGATAATGCACAGACATCATCTATGAAGTTAAATTCTTTTATTTTACCCTCTACACAAAAAATGTGAAGACTGGTTCTTAAATCAGTATCCCAAACTTGGAATCTAAATTATAGGGGGAGCTCATATTTGTTGTTTTGTGAGAAGAAAAAAGCTAACGTTAAAAGCACTTGCCAGTGATTTAATGTATGAAAATTGCCTCGTAGAGCATAGCAAACAAAACCACACGTGACTTTAGAAAGTCAAGGATACTAATATGCTATAAAAATGGAATCTGTTTACATGTGTTACAAAGCTTTTCTTTATATTTACTTTGTCCCTTTCAAGTAAGTATACTGATAAATATTCTTTGAGAGACAGTTAAGGGAATAGATGAAACTAAAGCTGCACTTTCAGTTGAGCCATACTTGGTAGACAGAGCTACACTGCCTGAGGAAGCCCAGGGAAGAACTGGCTGCCCCATCTGCCAGCAGATGGTTTGTGGTCATTGGCTCCTTCAGGGGTGTCTTGGCTACAGACAGCCCCCTTACCCATGGGCACATCCTCTGAGAAGCTTGCATTCAGGCAGTGATTGAGGTAAGAATATAAAGACCAGACCCAGATTTGCTCCTTTTGGCCTTGGCCAAGGCTCTGTCAGTCTGATTTGGAATTCTCCCTTGCCTAATTCTGCTTTCCCTTCCCCTCTTCTCCACAGGTGTTGATCCCTGACAAATACTACACATGCAAAACTCCATGTCAATGAGAATCCAACCTGAAACGGTCTTTTTATTGTTTCATATAAATTTCTATGATAGATTTCTCTCTTCCAGTTTAAAAATATTGTGAGACACTTCAAAAATACAGAAAATTCTAGACAATAACACAATGAACTGTAAATCTGACCTAGCTATAGAAAATATTTTCCTACATTTGTTTCAGATGTTTTGAGAAGTACAATATTACAATTTTATTTTAAAATACAATAAAATCCCTTGGTTTCTCTTTCCTAGATCCTATTCTCTTTTCTTCCCACCCTAGAAGGAATCGTTACCCTAAATTTGGTACTTACTATTCACAAGTCATATTGCTTTTACTGCAATATGACTTTGAGATTATTAATATCAATACATGTAGATCTAGCTAATCTATTTTCACTGCTCAATAGTATTCCATTGCTATCACATAATGTTTTTATATGTTCTCATCATGAACTCTGGGTTGTTTCCAATTTTATGTAATTACAAACATTCTGTAAAATAAGATTTCTTGTATAAACCATGTTGTGCACATGAAACATAATTCTCCAGAGCTAAGAGACCTAGAAGTGGAACTGCTTGGTTAAAAGGTACACACATCTTCAGTATTGCTTGGTAATGATTATCAGGTTGCCTTTCAAAATAGTACTAATTTATATTCCAGTCAGCCATATTTTGAGAGTTTCAGTTTCTCCACATTCTCACTGATGTCAGTTTGTATTTTGGGCCTTGAATTCCTCTTTTCTTTGGTAGTCTGATAGGCATAGAATGGTATTTTGCTTGCGATTTATTTTGTATTTCCCTGGTAACTAACACCTTTTCCTATGTTTGCTGAACATTTAAGTTTTTGAATCTTATAGGTATCATACCTCTCAGAGGAAAATGTCTTCCTCCTGCCAGCAGCCAGGCCTGTCCTCTTCTGTGGGACAGATTTCTCATCAGCTTTAGCCAATGTTGTAGTTTCAGGAAGTTCCAGCTTTGGGCAAGGGATCTAATTTGAACCCTCACCTTAGACTGTCCTCAAATGCCTGTGGCATGGAGCCATCAAATGGCATGCTCAAGATCACCCAGGCCTTGCCAGATACCTTCAGGGTAAAAGCCAAGTTTACTGCTTAGGATTCTCATTTGCATTTTGGTTTTTGTGAATTCTTTCTTTTCTTTCTAGCTTAGCCTTGCTTTTAAAAAGACAATTTAAATATTTTATTTAGTATGTTTAGTTTCTTTCAGGGGAAAGACTAATTAGAATATTGAATCTGCAATGTACCTCTCTAATATTTTCTCTTAATTTCTTTGGGCTATAGTCAGGGAGAATTTCTCAGCACTACCTTCAATTCACTATTTCTCTATGTGTCCTGTTTATGGTTTATCTCATCTACTGAACTGTTTTTCAAAGACAATACTTTCCATTTCTGAGACTTATTAGTTCTTTTTCATGTCTGTTCCTGCAT